GCCGGGAATTAGCTTAGTGGTTCTACCGCCTGCCTCACAAGTACAAGGGCCCAGTTCAATCCCGAGTACAAAAAAAAAAGTTTACCTTAATTTTATAATCAAGACATATCTAAACTAAAGCTATATTGGCACTACAATGCTCATGTTCAATTTTAAGACTAGCCACTGGTAATATTATACGTGTGTGTGTGTGTGTGTGTATACACACTTTCTGTATTAATTCATAACTGTGTTTGTATTTAAAGAGCAAAATTTGAAGCCAAGTGCGATGGTACACACCTGTAATCCCAGCACTTGAGAGGCTAGGGCAGGAGAATCACTGCGAGCTTGGGCTACACAGTGAGTTCAAGGCCAGCCTGAACTACACAGCCAGACTGTCTCAAAATAAAAAACAAAAAGAGCAAAATTTGAATTGTGATACATAGTTCTAAATCACAGTTTTTCATTCAATATTATGTATATGCTTATCATCCAATAATCTTCAACACAAATCATAATATACAAGTAATCAAAATATATAGTGAAGTTTGAATTTTTAAAATTTATTACACTAAAAAAATACTTTGTCAATAATCTTTCTCAAAACACACCACATTTCAAACACACTTATTCCATCGCTCTTGTCACTTTTTAAAGGAGTTCTGAAAGTCATTCATGTCTTTACAAGATATAATAAAAAATATAGTCAATGATGGTGCTGAGTGATATCCAACAGAGTCAGATCATAATAGAGTGTGGCCTTATCCGACAACATAAAGCCCCAAACTGGCACACGGGCTTTTCCCCAAAATCAAAATGACTATGAAAGGTAAATGTTTTGAGCTGATTCAGGACACTGAAGAAGCCATGACAACACAACCAAAGACACTCACAAAAAACTGCTTCAGAAAGTGGCAAGAACAATGGGTAAAGTGTGTTCAAAATGAGGGGAAGTATTCTAAGGGAGACTAATAGCACATTTTTTACTGTAATACATTTTTAAAATTTAAACATTCACTGTATTTTTCAATCTTACCTTGTAACAGTTTTGTTTTGGTAAAATATTAGGAAGAATTTAAGCCAAAAAATTAGCTGTATGACAAAATAATCCTTCCTGTTACAGTTAGCCCAATATTTTTGCCATTTTAAACTTCATCAGCATCAGCTAGAAAATAATTTACACTCTAGTTTTCTTAAAGTCTTTTCATATTTAAACAGATATACATACAAAGAAGAAAAAAACCTGTATTTTTATGGGGAATTCTTAAAAGTACAGAAAATATGTCAAACATCAAATTCTAACTTAAAAGTAAACATTTTTCATATGCTGCCATTTTGACCAATTTAAAAGTCGTTTTTTCGGGGCGGGGGGCGTACCAGGGATCAAACTTGGAACCTTGCACTTGCAAGGCAGGCGGAGGAACAGTGAGCTAAATTCCTGGACCTAAAAGTTTTAATTAAGTTAGCAATCTTTGGAAACAAAATATAAAATATATGTTGCCATTTTGACCAACTTAAAAGTCGTTTTTTCGGGGCGGGGGGGTACCAGGGATCAAACTTGGAACCTTGCACTTGCAAGGCAGGTGGAGGAACACTGAGCTAAATTCCTGGACCTAAAAGTTTTAATTAAGTTAGCAATCTTTGGAAACAAAACATAAAAAGTATCCCAACATATTAGAGAAGAACAGCAACAACAACAAAAAAACAAAAAAAAACCCATTCTAACAAATGAAATTATTCTAAAAGTAAACTACAATCACATTTTATTACTGAGAAAGGTTTTCTAAAAGACAAATCTATAGAGATCATCAAGGTTAAAATTATTCAAATGTAAATAACTTCAGTACCAGCTACAAGATTACCCAAGCTCTCTAAAATTATCATTTCTAGTAGAAAATCCAAAGAGGAGATTTCAAACAGAATCCCAACGTAAGACTAGGGACACTTGTTTTCATGCACTGACTATCTGCCACTTACATACAGATGCTAAAGATACAGACCAAAAAACAAAAAGTTTCTATGTCCAAAAAGTGACTGGTTGGACTAAACTGGTTTCCTTCAGCAATCCGACTTCCCATAGCTGGAGTAGGGTATAGAGCAATGCTGCCTCTCAGCAAGAAGGAAAGCGAAGGGCAAGCTTTACTTACGTGGAACAGAAGAAACAGTTCATCATCATAAATGTATTTCCTCTTTTCCACATTCTCCCCCAGTAAACAGTAGTATGTGTACTTAAGCCACAAAAGGGAAAAACTAGAATAACAACTGAGAATGATTATCTACAGGGGACTACTCATGAAAAAGGCAGGATATTATAATCTCTGATTGACACACATAAATGTAAATTACACAGGCATTTGTGGGGAGAAGCACACTAAGGTCACAAGATACGTATCTAAAACTCATTTGTAAAATCAGACAATCCATTAACTAAAACGTGTAAGTCTACTTACTGCAGCATCTATATTATATGTACGTGAGGGCATGCTAAGCACACACTACAATTATACTATATCCCTAGCTGCAATGTATTAAATATGCATTATATTTTAGCTTACATGTATATACTAGCTCACTGAACATGTAAATGTGTATATGCATGTGTGTTTCTAAGTCCATTGAACTACAGAAATACTTAATATATTAGTTGCGTGTAAAAGTGTAAATTGTATAACTGTATATAAATAGTATAATGGACAATGTGAAATAGGAAGAAAAGGGCTAAAGGTATAGAGGAAGTGGGAAGGGTAGTGGAAAGGAAATAAGGGACAAGAAAAAATATGAGAAAAGGAAAAAAAAAATGGAAACAAAGTCTATGTAAATAGGGGAGGAGGGAGTGGGTGAAGGGAGGGCAGGAGTATGGGAAAAAAATGAGAACCAACGTCTGTCATGTAAGAGTACAAGATCCCAGTGATGAATGTAACTGAACTATATATTTAAAAAGTACTAATAAACTCAGTAAGATCAATAAATAAATAAATAAATAAGTTGTTTGGAATTATATAAATACAAAAGAATCCGATCTGAATCTATTACTTCAAAACAGGTTCCTACTCAAAAATAGCACATAGCTTATGATTCTATAATCATACATACATATATACATATATGTAAATAAATAGAAAGATATATTTCAGAGGTGATAGGGATTGAACCTAGGTAAGCAGATGCTCTACCAGAGCTACATCCCCAGCCTAATTCCACTGTCATATATCTTAGATGCACATATGTATAAGAAAAAGAAAGTCAAGAAGGCATCATCATTATATCAACAGTGGATTTATACTCAAGACCAGAGGTCATTTTTATTTCATCATATTTGCTTATCTGTGTTTGCTCATATTTTGCCAAAGTAAGGATTACAGTGGTACCTCAGTTCAGTACATGAACTTGATTCTTGCCATGATTCTGGTCACAGAGTCAGACGAAAATAAAATCAAATTCAATAGCTAGGTTCAATGTTGACCTTACGGGGAAATCGGATTTAGTTCTTGTCCCACTGGGTTTGTAATCAGAACTGTGGAGAGACTTGAGTTCATGAATTGAGGTACCAATGTAGTAGTATATAAAATATTAAGATAACAGCTTCCATGTTCTCTGAATTTTATTTATAAAAACAGACAAAGTTAAATATCCCATTTGCTATCATCAACACACTTACATAGTATGGTTCTGCTTCCCTTTCAGTTATCTCATCTTGATACAGAGTGAAGCAAGTTGGAATTCGTCCAAACCACACATCTCGAAGCACATCTTTGTCATCTGTCATTCTTCCAGTGGTTAAAGCAGTACATACAGGCTAATTTTTTTCTTCAACCAAGGTCAAACTAAAAATAAAATGAAGCGCATTAGTCAGATCTTTGCAAAGAGAAATGAATCCACCACAAAACAAAAAGTCTATAGAAAAAAAATGAATGGCATGAATATTATTCACTTCAAGAAAGAAAACACTACAAGACTGAGCCAGGCACCGTGGCAAACAGCTATTGTCCCTCCTACTCAGGAGGCCAAGAATGGTGGATTGCTTCAGTGCAGTATTTTGGGGGTAACCTAGGCAACATGATGAGACCCCACTGTCTTTTTAAAAAAAGAAAAACCAAGCCAGACATGGTGGTGCAAGCATGTAATCCCAGCTAATCAGGATGCTGAGACAGAGTGTGTGAGGTGGCGGCCAGTCCGGTCAAGTCAGCAACACAGTTTCAAAAAATAAAAAGGACTGGGGCTATAGTTCAGTTTTAGAGTGTCACTGCATTCGATGCCCAGTACCACAAACCAAACCAAACCATGTTATCAGCATTCTTTAGAATGCAAAAAATAAGCACAACAAATTCTAAATGTAGATCTATTATCTATTTAAAATGATCACAGAAGTAACCAATTCAAAATTTATATGCAAGTAATGAATTACAGTCAAAATAAAACTATACTGTACTTGCATCTTCCTTTTATTCTGAGAAGAATCTTATCTAAAGAGAACCCTATGATCCCTTATGGCCCAAGTCCAAAAGATCATTCTCACAATTTTACCTGCCCCATCTAATATATATAACTTGTCCTATTTTCCAGATACTATTATTCAGAAGAAAAACAAAAACAAAAACAAACTTACTTATCATGGAAAAATCTTTACACAAACCTATTCCCCATTCTAAATTTCTTTTTTGTTTCCTCTGGTACTATATATGGAACTCAAGACACTCTACCACTGACCTACATTTCCAGCCTTTTTTCCTAGCCCTATTCTGAGATAGAGCCTCATTAAGTTGTCCAGACTGGCCTCAAACTTACGATCCTCCTGTATCAGCCTCCTGAGTAGGCGGGACTACAGATGTGTAACACCATGCCCAGCCCCATTCTAATTTCATCCAATCCATAATCTGATCCAATCCATATTTCCAGTTTTATTTATGATGCTTCATTTCTCAAAGCCTCTAGCAAAAGTTGCCCCACGAATACCTTGCTCTATGTACTACTATTGCTCTGTCCTAATATGAGTAGGCGGGAACAGATGTGTAACACCATGCCCAGCCCCATTCTAATTTCATCCAATCCAAAATCTGATCCAATCCATATTTCCAGTTTTATTTATGATGCTTCATTTCTCAAAGCCTCTAGCAAAAGTTGCCCCACGAATACCTTGCTCTATGTACTACTATTGCTCTGTCCTAATATGCTCTTCTCTCATCTATTCAAACCCTACCCACTCTGTAAACCAAGCACATGACCCTCTTTCTTAAAGAAACAGTAAATACTTCTACCGTGAACTCTTAGAATAGTCCCTATGCTACAAATACAGCACCTGACTTGTTGTATGTAAACCTGTTGTGGGATTGTTCTGAGTATGGTAGAAGGACATGGTTTTTGACCTCTAACATCCAAATGCCTTTCAGTGCTAATAGTCTACAACTAAGCAATACTATAATATATCTCTTGAGTAAATATTGAAAGAATACTAATACTACTTCAAGTATCTCAACAGATGGCACCTGAATACTAAGATTCAAAAAAACCTATCCAAATAATATTCCCCATATTTCATGGGCAGCTAATTCCTAATTCATTGCATGTATCCTGTGAAAACATTCCAAATCATATGCAAACCCTAGTACAACAAAAAAAGTTTAGAAAAATATCAATTACTAACAATGAGTTATGCAAGGAACTTATTTCCTTTCTTTTCTATTGCCTTGGCCAATGTCAAGCACATTAAAACTGCTATAAGTTAAAGAACAAAGCTGGAGGTCAACTGGATACAATGTCATCAACAGGTAAATAAATAGAGGAGGAAAAATTTGCTCAATATAAAAATACTAGGCAACAGTCAAATCAAGCTAATAACTAACAGACTAACCATAGTGTTCTTTTAAAAGCACACCAGTATTTTCACTTTTATTAAAATATGAAGAGTATCTTTGGTAAATTGTGTGTGTGTGTGTGTGTGTGTGTGTGTGTGTGTGTTTAACTTCATGTAGCTTCACAGTGATTGGCCTCAAACTGAAACAATACTGAGTTTCTCTACACATCAGAAATTTTCCAAGTTTACAAATCACACCAAATTAACTCACTACTTCTTATGAGCTCTCTCTCTCTTTTTTTTTTTTTTCAAGTACCAGGGATCAAACTCAGGACCTTGAGCTTATGAGGCAGATGCAGTGCCCCTGAGCTAAATCCCCAGCCCAACACACTACTTCTTGATTCCATCAGTAAACTGTCCCTTTAAAATAAACTTACTAACCTAGCATGATGGTACATGCCTATAATTCCAGCACTCTGAGGGGCTGAGGAAGGAAGCTCAAGAGTTTGGGTCTAGCCTGGGCAACTGAGCAACCCTGTCTCAAAATAAAAAATATAAAAAGGGACGGCGATGGAGCTCAGTGCAGAAGAGCTCTGGGTCCAATACCCTGCCTGGTACCACACACACACACACACACACACACAATTACTAGTGGCAGGAATTAATGAAACCTGGGTTATGGCAAGTAATCTAAAATTGAATTTGATATAAAGGTGAAAAGCAGCAGTTTCAACAATGCTGATTGTAGTGAACATGTAAAACATAGGACTTTGTGACCCCACAAAAAGCAGAATTAAGCAAAGTAAAACTAGAGTGAAATTGAGTGAAGCTTGACAGCTAACAGCTTGACAGCTTGACAGCTGACAGCTTGACAGCTGAGTGTTAGGACAGATAAGAGTTTGCTGTGACGTGTGTGGAATTCCCCCCACCATCTGCTGTGACACGTGATTGCTGTGACATACGATTAAGAGTTTGAAGTGAGGTAATGGAGAGTGTCAAGGCGTTAACTTAGATAGAACACATGGATGTATTAGATAGAGATAAGTTAAGGTATAAAAGGAGAAGACTACAGACAGACATCGTCCTTGACGACCCCGTCAAGATGACCAGCTGAAGCTCTGCCCGAGACACAGACATTCTGTTCCAGATCCTGACTGCTGAGCCGAGGATCCTGTTTGCTGACACGAGAGAGAGCCAAACCAACTTGAGACCGTCATCAACATCGAAGTCGCGGCTCGAACCTGCAAAGCCAAGGACCAGACTACACCCACCAGGTCGTATGCCCTCACCTACAGCATGCTAGGACTTATGATTTTGTTAGAGATATTATGGGCTGGCATTATTTTTATATTGCGCTGGCAATTGTAGTTGTATCCTTTGTGTGGGCTTGTTTCTGTATTATTAAAGAAAGTAAAAGCATTTATGAAAACGAAACTGAATTGACAATCATTGATGCGCTGACCCGTGATCCCGAAACGCAAATCGGTGCTCGCGACACTGATACATTCAAAACAGCTACAACTAAGATTCCCCTTTGCTCACCTAGAGAAAATAATACAAAGCAACAAGCTCCCTACTAACAGACTTCAAGAAAATTTTATTATAGTTTTAGTATTTGTTTGTTTTCTTGGGTTCAAGTGCCACCAATTAAGCCCAAGGTTCTACCATAACACTATATTGCCAGTATACTTTAATTATAATTTTAAATAAAGGTACAAGATCGCAATACATATGTAACTGTATTATTTACCTTAAATGTACCAATAAACTTAATGGTTAAAAACAAATAGCTCAAAAGTCACTATCAATACTATCACACTGGACAATTTTTTTTCTTTTGAGAAGAAACAGAAAATATAACTCAAGCTGGCCTGTAATTACAGCTACTCAGGAGGCTGAGGCAAGGGGATCCCAAGTTGGAGACCAGACTGGACCATTTAACAAGTCCTTATCTGAGAGAGACAGAGACAGATAGAGACAGGAACAGATAGAGAGACAAAGAGATAGAGAGACAGAGACCAGAGACAGAGAGAGATTTCAAGACAATTCAATCTTAAGGTGGATATGGCCATTTAAGGAAAGGCCTCTATCTCTACAAGCTCTTCTTTTCTCTCTCCAAGCACTGTCCTTCAAAAAACAGAGATGTGATTGGTCAGATCCCAGAACTCCATTTGAGCTGTGTTTATTAATAGGCAGTGATCACCACAAACCAAAACATTCAGAGACAGAGAGAGATTTCAAGACAATTCAATCTTAAGGTGGATATGGCCATTTAAGGAAAGGCCTCTATCTCTACAAGCTCTTCTTTTCTCTCTCCAAGCACTGTCCTTCAAAAAACAGAGATGTGATTGGTCAGATCCCAGAACTCCATTTGAGCTGTGTTTATTAATAGGCAGTGATCACCACAAACCAAAACATTATCCATGTCAATATGGCTTTCTTTTCCCTTGTCTAGGATGCTACAACACTTGACCATACTGTTCTTCCTTTCCATGTCATTCTCTTCTGCTTCTCCCTTTCATGTGTCAGAAGGATCAAAAGGAAGAACCAATGGTCTCTCTCTCTGTTTCTGAGCGTTTCTTCTCAAAAGTGATACAAAAATAAACAGGAGAAGAGTGAGTACCTCAAAAGCCAGACTACAGTTTTGGGTTTTAAATTCTATCACAGAATTTAAAGTACAAAAAACCAGTGTAAAAAGACTGACAGACATGTTGGTGCATGCCTGTGATCCCAACACCTGGAAGGCTGAGGCAGGAAAACAGGTCTGAATGAACCCAACCTGCGCAATCTAACTGACTTAGCAATACCCCATTCCATAATTGGAAAAAAAAAAAGAAAAACCTTTAAAAAGAGAGAGAGATGTAACTGTGTGAAGACCCTGGATTCAGCCCCAGTCCAGGAGGAAAAACACTGGTACTTTATTTCCAATATATCTTTGCTTCTTATATCCTTTTTTTTTTTTTTGGAGACAGGGTCTCACTATATAGTTGAGACTGACCTGGAACTCACTATGTAGCCCAGGCTGGCCTCGAA